TTTGCATTTCCCTATCAAGCGGAGGGGGCCAAGAGGTCTTCAATTTTATATACACACATCACGTTTGCTGAAACCACCCAAATTGAGCTTCAAGAAGTATGAAAGTTTCTGTCATGCTTGAAAAGCAGCTTTGTGTTGCTGGGAACCCGATTTCAATCGCGCCCTACAAGGTTATATAAGGTTAATATAGGAGTTCTGCCGGGTTCTGGAAATGGGTTGGGATGGGGAAAAGTCAATTGCCCTTTTTTCACACCTGCCAGCAAGTCGACGGAACCACTGCAATTCGGCCACCCCCCTGAACGGTATGCACACATGCATCCTGGATACACGTCAGGGGTAGGACTTTGATTCCCTTTAAGGGTTCAAACATGTTCTGGCCCATGGGGCGCCACATTTCAACACACGAAAAGTCCCGTCCTGACACATTCGCATGCACCTGAACTTTGCCCACGTGCATGGTGCCATCCACCTTCAAAAGAACAGTGTCGCCTGAAGAACATCTAGCACCTGGAGCAAACATCGCTTCCTTGGCCACTTTGACCGAACCAAACAACCCAGTTGCAGAGCGAAGGATAGCCTCCATCTGGAAAGTAGCATCAGAGGGGTTCACAAGGCCTTCGACTGGCTCACTTGATTTCCCATCGAGGTCCACGAGTTGAGTTCGGAGCATGTCACGTATGATTGATTTCTCAAACCCGAGCCAAGTATTCGTGTTTGCAGTGGCATATCTCTTGGCCTCGCGATGCTTGCTCTCGTGGACGTAGCACGGAATCAAACCCTGGTGTCGAGAATACATCCGAGCTAGGTGCAGTGTGTAATGATGTTTGGGTCGCCAGCGATCCACCCCATATGCGTTTTGAAAGCTCCGCAAATGCCTCAAAATAACGTCTTGGAGAACTGCTGCCGGGGTCGTCCCCCTTTTCAGGTCTTGCAAAACATCAAGCACTCGGCACAAATCCATATAGGACCGGAAAGCAGGAAGCATACCATCGAGCTCGTTGCTCCGGTGCTTTTGGCACAAAATAAACCTCAGAACCTGGAAGACGGACAACGCCTCTGAGGCAGAACAGGAAATATCCCCAGTCTGCTTTTTTGCGAATATGTTCTTCCCCGTCATCGATTTCGAAGATATCCATGAAGGCCAAACGAACGCCTGTGGCTCGAGGTGAAGATCCTTCTGAGAAATCCCACTGCTCGCCAAACACTCCACCAACAACCCCGTCTCCACGTTCCATATGCCAGACACGCAATACAAATGCATCCAGTCATACATGAGAGTGCTGACAACTGGGATGTAGAGTAGCTCACTGCCCAAAAGGCCATCGGGGTTGTGGTTGAAACCCACCAACTGCTCCTTCAAGCTGAAAGCTGCCCGAGAGCACCGGGGACGCTCAGCTGCTAGAAAGCGAAGCACGTCACGGATCGAGTCGTCAGTGTGCGGCTGAGACTGGCTGAGGTCCAACAGGGTCGAAGGCAGAATGCTCTCAGTTTCATCGTGGGAATCCAAAGTGCTTTTAACATCGACCACGTTGCGACACAACGGGCACAATAAGGTGCCGCTTGCTCCTTTGAAATCATACATATCACGTAGTGCTGCAGCATCTGCAACAATGATGGAGATCCGTAAGAAAAACAGTGCCCGATCACCCGAAGCCAGTGTCACGAAAAGCCCCTGTCTCGCATCGTGCGGCGTGTAAAACTGCTCCATACACATTCTGATATAAGCAGACATTCTGCCTTTGATGCGTCTCACAATTTCACTTCGGCACACTCCAAGCAAGAACCAATGTCTTTCAGAGGAAAGAAGGGTATCATGTTGTTTCAGAGACCAGTACACACATTGGAGCTTTCGCTCGTTGCAGTGTCTCATAGCATTCCCCGGTGTCACTTCGTCGCTATAGACAATTATATCAAATGGGGATTGTGGGTCATGTGGGCGCTGTTCTAGAAGCTTCCCGAAATAGGTGCCATATTCCTCGCAGTTGCCAACTATGTGAGCTAGCCAAGCCAAGGGGTTCACGAAAGGCAGTTCCACGCTTGTCGGCTCTGATTCACCTGCGTTGGGCTCCAAAGAAACCTTGACGACATTGATCACATTTCCATATGGGGTTGGAACCTCCACTTCTCTCTCTCTGCCCCTTTTGATGGAACTGCGGGATATCCCTGAATCCAGGTTCACCTCCAGCTCCTTCAGAACTTGTGCCAGGGCAGACTGCGAGATGTACCTCCCTGATCCCAAGCTTGAAGCCTGCTTGGGCGCCATGGGGGCGAGCGCGTGGCCCAGCCCGGGCGAGCTTCAGCCCAGCCCTACACTCACCTTTTGAGAATCGACTAATGCAGCATGTATACAGTCAAGCTTCCTGCTTCAAACGCCAACCGCACCGGAAGCGCAAATCAGTGTGTGGAGCAAGCTCTTTTTTTTTTACATCTACCGATCCGTGGCCAGGTGGCCATTCATTCCAAACAGCTTGCATGCCACGCAGCCAGTTTGCATGCCTCCCCAACCGCTGTTGTTATAACAGCAGCACTTGACACAAGGAGTAAACTAATAACCAATTCAGTGTCAGGTCTTTGAAGGTGAAACACAGTTTGTTATTGGGCGCAAGCATAGAAGTATACACAATTCGGCATGCTTATGGTGGCTTTCCCTACGAGGCATGAAAGCAAGTACACCAAACTATAGAGAGCACACAAACTCTCCAGAGCGTGCTCTTTGGTGAAAACGTTTCGGCATGCGACGGCTATACCCCGCTGCATGACATGAAAGTGCCCAACATTTAGAAATCACTTAGGGATGAGGGCGCACGCCTTCTTGAAAGCGGCCTGCTCATCGCCTTTCCAGGGGACCTTTTTGTCACAACGGTCCTGCTTGTTTACAAAAACCCGCCAGCATTGTGCATAATCGGACCGGTGAATCTTACCTCCCCGAAGCCAAACCGTACCGGATCCTGGCTTGGGAGCTGTGGGAAGGCCCTTGGTGGAGGAGGCGGGGCTCTCAACGGCCTTGCCCGTGGCCTTCTTCTTCGGGGTAGCCTTCGGGGCTGCCTTCGCGGCAGGGTTCTTCGTGTTCTTCGCGATCTTCGTGTTCTTCGCGGGCTTCGTCGTTTTCTTGGGGGCTGGCTTGGCTTTGGGCTCTGAGGGCACCTTTCGTTTCTTGTAGGACTGCTTCAAAACCTCAAACTGATCCTCTGCTTTCAGGTTCTCCCCATCTAAAGGCAGGTCGGGCAGGTCAAACATGCTGGGGCGCTTTGAAGGCGGGTCCTGCTCAGGCTTGCTCTGCTCAACCTGGGAGTTGGGCTTTGCCTGGATGCTGCCCTTATCCAGCGTTTCAGATGAACTGCTTCTCGCCACCTCCTGGAGAACAAACACTGCAACACGTGTTTAACCGGGTTGCTGAGCCAGTATATCAAACCTTCCTATTTGCGTTTTCTCTACGAACTCACACGGCATCATTGGGATTCATTTAATTCTATAGCATATATGAACAAGGGGCCCTGGAATTCAAATCATTCAATTCATCCACTGGTCGTGCTGAGCAAGGCCATGTTTCCAAACACATCTCCTGTTCTTTCGTTGCCGACGCAGCAGACGGGTCATTGTCCAAGGAAAGGGTCTGCTCACGGTTGGATAGGGCAATCTGCTTCTTGCGGTTTGCAAACACAAGGCCAGGCAGCTCTTGAAAACCGCCAGAACCCGTGGAAGCATCCATGCCAGCTGACCGGCAGACTTCCATCATGGAGCGCATCATGAACGCCATGACTTGTTGGGGAGACCCATCAAAGCCTTGAGGGATGCCACTCTTTGAGGTTGCGGAGTCGCCCCTCACCAACTTGGATGTTTTCCGCAAAGGGATCCCGTGTGTTGAGACACCCAACGTGTCGCTCCTCTGGTTAGGGCCCTCCTCTTCATAAGCAGCACTGAACAGCTCGGAAGGCAGGTCATGGGGGGAAGCTGGATATTGAACCAAGTGGGTGCCACAAGGGGGCTGATGTTTTGTTTTGGTCTTCAACAGCTTCTTAAACTCCCGGAGCAGGTCGAACTTGGCGGGCGCAGTGGGGGCTGGAACTCCTGCCTCAATCATGGTTGCCACAACGCCCTGGCAAGTCTGCTCAGTTTGTAAATGCAGGCCTATGAACACGCAGCGATCTGCCACTGCAGTCAGCTTCGTGCCAGGATGTGCGTCACCTGCCAAGAGCTTCAGCTCAGACTCTGTGAGGTACTTGCTGATGCCTTCAAGCCTTTGGTTCGGGCGCCGGCACTTCTTGGTGTCTGCCATGCTCTCCATGGCAGTGTTCAAGGCTGAAGCCAACACCTGTTTCTGAGATTCACTCCAAGGGCCTTCAGAGATGACATCGCTCAGGGCTACCCCTTCACCACCAGAAAGGGCCCCGCGTGCTCCTAGAAGGCGCTGTGCAAACTGGCTTGCCTGGGATGCCAACATCTTGCCAAAGCCGTCGCTCGGCAAGTTCTTCTGCTGAGCAGCCACGAAGGCATGAAGATGCCGAAGGTCATCACAGAGCTGTTCCCCATGCGAAGTCATGGGCACGAACTTACGAAACAAGCCCTCTACAAAGCCTCCTGGTTAATCCTACGGCCACACATCCGCACCAACAGTTTGCACACAACATGCTTGCTGGGCACCATGCTCGCAAAGGATCAGTTGCGTGCCTTACACGCTCGCATTTGCTGGGCACCAGTGCTCGCAATCTGATGCTGGGCCAATGGGGCTCGCACAACAATGCTGGGCAGTTGGTTTTAGCACAATGGGACCCAAACCAGACTCTGTGAGTTGCACTCAGTTGCACTCAAACACAATACAACACATGATGTTGTGATGCCCTCTTCTGCAGCAAGTGCTACCTCAGCACCTTGTCTACGCCGCTCGCAAGGCTGCCTGTCTACAAACCTCTCCCGGTGCAAAATCGAGACCTATGCAGCTAGCTTGGAGGAATCCTTCGAAGATGCTAACATGCTAACAAAGCTAGATTTGCGTCGCCCTCTCACTCATTGAGGTAGCCTTGGTGGGCTTCGAGCTCCCGGCTCTCCGCACCGTCGTGCAAGGAGATCGACTTAGGGTTCACCTTGGGGCCCTTACCGATGGTGTCCACGCTGGGCTTCTCGAGCTCTTTCAAGCAGAGTGACTTGGGGTTCACCTGCTTCCCAATCATCTTCTTGACTGGCTTCCTCATCGGGCTCATTACTTGGGAACTCTCCGAACCCGGCGAGGGAGGCGCGGGCTTGCTGGACGCCGAAGCCTCGCTCTTGCCCATGCCGCGCACCAGCTTAACAGCCTTCAGCGCAGCCTTGCTGACCTTGGTCTTCACGGGCTTTCCCTTGCGCTTGGGGCCAGCCTTTGCTTTGGCCGTGGCCTTGGCCGCCCGCTTGGCTCTGGCCTTGGCCGGCGCGGCCCACAATCGCTGGTTGCCGTTCACCGGCTTCAGCTCCTCTTCGCCCAGCACCACTTTGACCGCCTGCTGCTCGGTCACCCGGCCAGCCCTCACCATTCGGCTCTTCAGCTCTGCCAAGACCTCCCTCCAATACGGAGGCCTCTTCTCAACAAGCATCATGCTGTCCACCTCCGCGCCCGAGCATGCGTTGGCAAACTTTACATGGGGCTTGTCCACCGTGGCCCTCAGGATCAGGTGTCCTCCCACCTCCCGAGTGAGGACCCTGTTGAACTCGCCCCCGCAGTGCCTATAGACCCACATGTTGAGATCTTCATACCGCTCTGTATGCAGGAACTTAAAGCCAACCATAGACCCGTAATGCAGCGACAGGAAAATGGGCTTCTGGCCGATGACTTTGCTGTTGTGGCCGCACCAAAGCCGCGTCCACTTTGACGCCTTTGGCAGCCCTTTCTCAGGGCCTGTCCACATCTTCGGCAGCCATGCCTGCTCGAGCACGATCGTTGTGTCGGGCTGCTCCTTCTTTGTGATCCCCATGGTCAGGTCTTGCAGCTTGGATGATCTTCCTACTCCGCTTTTCAGCCGGTGCGCAACTGGCGAGCACGTAGCCCAGCCGTGGCGAGCAAGAAGCCCAGCCACGTTCACAGTCAGCAATCATGTCACAAGCTCCATGACATCAACACTGCATCGGTTTTGACACATGCAAGTACAGATGGGGGAACAACTTTCACAACAAACTTGAAGCAGGACCTATGATACATTCAAAAGCATGAACCAGTGTGTACAGCGCTGTGTTTTGCAAGGAGGAGCACATTCACCATGCACTCGCAAGAGTATGTGAAGAGTGGCCTCAATCACACCCGCAATGCGCCTCAACAAGCCAATACTCCATAGCTGAATGCTGCCAAATCCACAGTAAGACAACACTCCATCAACATCCAGTTTGACTCGCAACATGGCCAGTGAGCAAAATCACACAAACAACAACCCACATCCCTAGCAACACACTCAGACGACAACCATGTCAAGCGCACACAAACACTAACGTCAGGTCAGTACTGCATTCTCAAGTCGCACATGCGAGGTCCCCTACTCACAGGTCGCCCCAAACCACAAAAGGGTACGATTTCAGACAGTTGGACGTCCCCCCCACAAAAAAGAGCCAGCAGTCAAGTCCGTCCAGTCCGTGTGTTTCTGTTGGTTTTTTTCTGGCACCCGGGACAGAGCATGACACCGGTGGTAGGTATGCCCAACACATACCACCATCCAACAGGAGATGTCCAAGTGATGAGCACACCACACCAGCTCGCATCATCACACGTGAATATGACTGTCTACACACACATGCATTAATCCCCCAAACAGCAAAAACATGCCCTCTGGTCGCGTCCAAAGCGCATGATGTATCATGTACTGATGCACACAACAGCGCATCATCTAGGTTTGCAAAGCCCAGACCCTCACCCGGATCGCATCACCCCTGACCCCACAAAGACTCCATAAATACTGTTCGGAAGATGTGTTCTGGACACCTGTCAAATTCATGTGTTTCACACAGCCAGCCCTCCTACACATTTCATATTGCATCCATCAGACTCTCAACCCTACCCAGCCATCACTCGTCACTCAGCCCTGATGCCTCAACACTAGCCACCTGTCAACCTGACCCATCAACCCTGCTCTCCACAGCTACCAGATCATCCAGCCCGCTCTCAGCCCAGGTAGGCAGCAAAGCCTGCCTTTTTTGCACTCCACACGATCGATCGGTGCAAGGAAGCCGCGGGCCAGCTAAAATACACCACTGGGCAACCACCAAAAACATCCATGCCAACATGCTATGAGCAGTACAAACAAGCTTGTGAACAATCACATGTTTTTATCAATTGATAAACTGCTGGTTTGCCCTTGTGCTACTTTTTTGTCAATTGATAAACCCCTGGTCGTCCCCTCTAAAATATGTATTGTGGAAATCCCGGTTTTTATCAATCTATAAAACCCTGACCCGCGGACCCGCAAAAGTTTATCAATTGATAAAACCTTGGGTTTGCCTGCTTCTGCCCTCCTAAGCCTGTTGGCCTTGTTTCCCAGCCCCGGTTGCTTGTCCGCGGGCTCTCCCAGAGGTGTCGGTGCCTCCTCGTGGCTCCCTCAATTCCCTGTACACTGCTTTGCAATGTGCTGGCCGTGGCATGTGCTAGTGCTGATGCTGGTGATGTGCTAGTGCTGATGCTGGTGATGTGTTGTGCTCGGTGCTGTTGCTGATGCTGGAAGTGTTGAGTGTTGATGCTGTGCTGAGCTGAGTGCATGCTGGATGTTGATGCTTGTTTGTGATATGTGCTGATGCTGTGATGTCTCATGCACATGCCCGGCTCCGGATCACCCGCGCTCCACCATTTTGGCGACCGCGTCCGCGAGCTTCACCACCGCAGACAATGCCACCTTCGTGTTGTCCTCCGTCCGCGCAGCTTGCCCACCTCTGGTTCGCCCCCTCTGCCGTCCAGGCTGGATCCTCAGATGCCCGAGCCAGTACTTGTTTGCCCAGCAACCCTCACCGACGTTTGGGTCACCCGTTCAACACATGGTTGAGCACACGGCCATATCACATGTCTGACTATATCCCATCACTCGTGTTATACTAATTCACCCCCTAACAGCCAATGTCAAAGTAGCTCGCCCAACGCCCAATGTTTGAGCAGCCCGCCCAACATCCAATGTTTGAACCCCTCGCCCAACACCATGTATGTTTGAGTCGCCCAGCATCCAATGTTTGAACCCCTCGCCCAACACCATGTATGTTTGAGTAACCGGCCCAACGCACAATTCAAAATGATCCTAAATGAAAGAACACGATTCGGGCAGATGTTGCCATACGTGTCGACGTAGGCAGTGCCATCCTGCGTGTAGTAGCCGCTGTTGGCGCGCTTCGTCTTGCCCTTGAAGGTGTTCTTCGCCTTCCCCTTGCCGCCCTTGTCGCCCTTGCCCCGGCTCTTGCCGTGAAAGGCCTGCTCTGGCTGCCATGACTCATCCCAGGCTGACTCATCCCAGCCGTGCTCATCCTTGGCCTGCTTCCAGCCGCGCTCGCCCTTGGGCTGCTTCCAGCCGTGCTCATCCTTGGGCTGCTTCCAGCCGTGCTCATCCTTGGCCCAGCGCCGCTCCTTGGGCTGCTTCCAGCTGTGCTCGTCCTTGGGCTGCTTCCAGCCAGACTCCTCCTTCTCCGCCCAATCGCCTGCCCGCCAGTCCTCCTCTGACCAGCCCTTGCTGCTCCGCGGTCCCAGCCACCGCATCTCCTCCTCGCTGCCCTCCTCCTCATCCTCCACGGGCTTGGAGCTTTGCGACTTCTCGCTCTGAAGGCCAGAGCCAACTGGCTTCTCCTCCTCCAGCCAGCGTGCGTTCTTGAACCCGCACCAGTCCGACTCCTCCTCTTTGCAGCCCCACCAGCTCGAGGACTGCCAGTCCCACTCCTCCTCCTTTGGCTCCTGCTCCTGGGCGGGAGCCTCCTGCGCGTTCTCGCTCTTCTCGTGGCCACCCGTCTCAGCTTCAATCACCTGGGCGAGAGCCTCCTGCGCGTTCTCGCTCTTCTCGTGGCCACCCGTCTCAGCTTCAATCACCTCTGCATCCTTCAGGGCGCCGTGCTCCTGGGGCGAGTCTATCTCCTCCTTGACCTTCGCGCGCTTCTGCGCGCGCTCTCCAGCGTCTTCACCCTGCGCCATGTTCACGCGCCAAGGGCTACGACGCCTCCAAAAATCTAATTGCGGCGCACGCCGAGCATTCAACTGCACAACCCTCGATGCCAATGACACTCACGCCTACATGCCCACCCCAACAAAGAAGGAACACTCCAACCAAGTACGTGTGTTCATCCCTTGCACCTTCGATCTGTCCCCAAACCTACTCCCTGAAGTGCAAGAAGCCTTGAATTCAAACAAATGCAAGTGCCTTTGAATCCACCGACCCCTTCACCCACATAAAGCAATTCAACAGGAAATGATGACATGCTTGCAGCCCATGAAATGCAACAACACAGCTCCACCTAAACAGGTGCCCACAACCAGGAACCAACAATGATGCCCCAGCAAGTAAATTCCCAGTGGCCTGAACCCCCCCGAAATGAGGCTCACATAGTTGAAGTGGGCAGGATCTAGGTGCCGTTTGTGCAAGAGCTATTTGACTGAAAGCAAAGCACAGGTATGTTGAAGCCTAGCGTCAAATTATTCAAACCTTTATCGCGCAACCGTCCAACATTCAAATTGCAAGGCGAACACAATTATCATTTGCACAAGTTGACAAGCTCGGCATCATGGACCGCTTTTCCCCCTAATCCCCATTCCGCCAGCGGCAGGCGCTGAACGACGCTGGGAACTTCGTGCACCTGATTAAGGTGAGCTCCAAACTCCAACAGACTTTAACACATCCTCAGCCGATAAGCAGTGCGTTTGTGTCACGGGGGCCTCTGTGTATGTGTGTGTGTGGGGAGGTTGATGCGTGTGAGGTGTATCTTTGTATACGTGTGTGTTTGGTGGTTTGTTTGTCTGTCTGTTGGTCGGCTGGTTGTTGGTTTGTGTGTTAGTATGTGTATATGTGTCTGGTGTTTTTTGTGTGTGTGTGTGCGCGTTTGTCTGTGGGTGTGTGGGTCTGTGCGACTGTGATGCGTGTCATGGCGTGCGTCTTGTTGGTGTGTTTGTCTTGATGTATGCAGCGTGCGCGTTCTGTGTGTGTGTGGTGTGCGTTGCTTGTGGTTGTACGACCTGTTTGGTTAGCTATTCAAGTGTGCACACCAAACCTGAGACCCTTGACAAAGTATAGAACTCGGTCTATGAGGATGTGGCTTGGCGCTCACACTGACTTACCCGGCTGCTCACGTGTGTTCTCTACCGCAGTCAAGGGAAGGATCTTGTTGCGCTTCATTTTGCCCTCCTCACCCTTCTCCAACGAAGACAGGATGCCGCACCGCACCTGCTCTAGCACATCGACAGACATCTCGATGAAAAGGGACGATCCTCCAACAGACCAGGCCACCTTCACATCCCGCTCTTCGAAAGACATGTCGGCCCACTCCACGCCAGGAAGCGTGATGCTGACAGTGTCAGGCGCAATCACCTCATCAGTTTGCCGGATGGCGCGTGGCTTCCTCTGCTTCTTTGGCTGAGGCTCTTCCTCTTTGCGCTCATTCTCTGCCTCAAGCGCCAGCCTTGCTGCCTCAACAGACTTTCTGTTGCGCTCCTGGAGCAGGTGGTCAAAGTACTTGCAGTTGGATCTCTGCGGAGGTCCATAGACTTTCCGGTGCAAAAGCGGGTGAGCTCTCGGCACCATTTGTTCAGCTCACAGAACACCTCGCCCTTGATGTGCTTGATGCTGGGCCGCCATGTGTGCCCAGGACTGGCGTCGCTGGTGACAACATAAACAGTGGCAATCTCCACTGGCATTTTGTGTGGCGAGCGCTCAGGCCCAGCCAGTGGCGAGCAGTTGCCCAGCCGTCTGATACACACAGCTTGAGCAGCTGAAGCAATGTCTCAATCTCATGAAATCAATTGCGCTGCCAA